TCACAAAATTATTTTAAAAAATCACCTCAATTCTATCAAAGATTGTTTAATACTTGGTTGTAATAATTTTTCTCTATTTAAAATCCTTATAAAATTAAGATCATGCTGCTTTGAAATAAGCTTTCTTTTACTTAATATATCACCAATATCTCAAAATTCATTAGACTTCCACAATGAACAATGAGAATAACCATTTAAATGCACAGTAACTCAAAACAGAGGTTTATAATAGGTATCTTTTCATTAGAAATAACAGTCTGTTATTTTTGGACTCTTTTTAAGATTCATTTCTGCTTTATGTGAGTCTTTAAAAATCAGAAACTCAGATTATTTTTTTGGTTGTATTTCTCCATTTCTGCAAATATATATTTTACATATCTATGGAGCAAACAATTTATAATTGGATTTTTAACACTGAGAATTTTTCATTTTCAAATATGGGAATTAATTTAATGCTGTGTATTTTCATATTTGGGGTTTTTTTCTTACTATTTTGTTCTTTCCTTTTATGTTTGTTTTTTGACTTTTGGTATATTGATCATGTTTTCTTATCTTTCATCAATAGTTTAGAACACATGTCTTTTTGATTTTTGCTACTAACAGAATAAATACTATTTATAGTGTCTATTTTCTATTAAGAGTTCTATGAGTGAAGAATAAAGTAGAATATTTTCATTTTCACTTACTTAATTGAAGTTCCAAATCCTACTGCCTGTATCTTTTCTACTAACTCACATGCTTCTGGATCTTAAGTAGGACACTCTGACATTTCTAACCAGAATATGTTGCTGTTACATGACTGTTCTAACACGGCATACCTTCTTTCAAAAACAGTGCTGAGATTCACAGGTAAATGCTACACCATGCTTCACAACCATTTTAACCCGCCTTTGTCCAAAATTAACGTTTACTTCCAAACCACTTCCCTCTGAATCACCTGCTCCACAGCGCTTGTGTTGGGACGGCCACCACCGGTTGAGGAGCCTTTGCTTGTGTCGACGTGAGGAGCTCTGTTCTGGCTGAACGCCACACGGCCGCCTGTGAACACACACCGAGCCAAACGGGGGCCGAGGGTGGCCGCCGCCGCCACTTCCACGGGGTGGTGACAGAGCCCTCCGTCTACGTCCCTGTAACGTGTTCGCTGCTGCTGCGGATCTCCCGCCGCCTCCACAGACGCGGCTCCGCCGCCGCCTCCAAAGATGACACGGCACCGCCGCCTCCACAGACACGGCTCCGCCGCCGCCTCCACAGATGACACGGCACCGCCGCCTCCACAGACGCGGCTCCGCCGCCGCCTCCACAGACGCGACTCCACCGCCGCCTCCACAGACGCGACTCCACCGCCGCCTCCACAGACGCGACTCCACCGCCGCCTCCACAGACGCGACTCCACCGCCGCCTCCACAGACACGACTCCACCACCGCCTCCACAGACACGGCTCCACCGCCGCCTCCACAGACGCCGTACCGCCTCCACAGACACGGCTCCACCGCCGCCTCCACAGACACGACTCCACCACCGCCTCCACAGACACGACTCCACCGCCGCCTCCACAGACGCCGTACCGCCTCCACAGACACGGCTCCACCGCCGCCTCCACAGACACGGCTCCGCCGCCGCCTCCACAGACGCGGCTCCGCCGCCGCCTCCACAGACACAGCACCGCCTCAGCAGATGCGCCCTGCTCGGCCGTGCTCACGGCTCCCATCCCTGTGTGTCCTCGGCCCGTGCACTTCTGCGTCAGCGGGTCCGCGGTGCGCGGCCTTGCTGAGCTCAGCGTCGCCCCACGGAGGCGTCCGTCCCGTGTCCCAGTCGGCAAGAGCGGGCGACGGCGGGACGTTCCGACAGTGCACACTGCGCGGGAGCGGAGCGGGGAATAACGCCGCCGAGCACGGAGCCAGGCTGTGCGGACGTGACGCTCGGTCACACCGATGACAGTCCCTGTGACCAAACTGCCTAAACTCGTTGTAGCTCATTTCCCTCAATTATAACATCAGAATAAAATAGTGCTAACTTTAGGGCAGTTTAAAAGATGTAGCTGAGTTTGCGTGTGTGTGTGTATAATACATGTATTTTATATGTACATATATATGTATATGGTAATTAGGAGAATACTTAGAACACAGAAATTACCACATAAATATTTCACCAGAATATAAGCTCCATAAGGGCAGGATGTTCGTCTGTTTTATTAACTACTAAAGCCTTAGTGCCTGGAACAGGACTTGACAAAAGGAATTGCCCAATATATGTTTTTGAGTGAATGGATAAATGCTGCCAGATGTTGCTACTATCGTTGTTACTAACACGTTTATTAGTGCTGTTATTTTTATTATTGCATTGGGGAAACCAATTTAATTAATTACTATTTTTTCTCAGATATACTTTTTCTTTTTAATGTCAAAAAGTTTTTAGAATAAGTATTTATTTTTAAAATTTAAAATATAAAATCCTTGCAGGACAACGGTTGATTTCAGTTAAAACTTTTGGCCAGCAGGGCAATGAGTCTTTCAAGCGATAGGTAGTCTTTTTTTTTTTTTTTTTTTTTAGTTCACAGAAAACCCATTCTATGTTTCATTAGTTATTCTATCCCATTTGTTCTTTATCAAGAAGGATGTTTTCTTTTAAATATGTCATTTTTTAAAATGTAAAAATTGTTTTAGATTTATAGAAAATTTGCAAAGATAGTATAGAAACCAGTGTACCCCTCCACCAGTTTCACCTGTTGTTAACACCCGACGCACCATGACAACCATGGCTAGAGAACCAGAACTGGTCCTTACTGCTAACTAAACTCTATGTTTTCTCTGGGTTTCACAGTTTGTATTGATAGTAGTTTTCTGTTCCAGAATTTCAGCCAGGATATCACATTACACTTAGTTTTTAATATCTCCTTAGCCTCCTCTGGTCTTTGACAATTTCTCAGACTTTCCCTGTCTTTATCATCTTAAGAATTTCTAGGAGTTTTTGTTGGTTATTTGAAAGAATATCCCACAGTTTGGGTTTATCTTATATTTTTCTCATAGTTCTCCTGGTTTCTCATGTTTATACTGTCATTACAGGTTTGGGGAGGAAGGCCATAGAAAATAGAATGAGGAAAGATGAGGTAAAACTATCCCTGTTTGCTGATGATATGCCCTTGTATCTAGAAAACCATAAATACTCCACCAAAAAACTTCCAGAATTGATTAATTCAGCACAGTTTCAGGTTATAAAATGAATGTACACAAATCAGTAGCATTTCTATATACTAACAGTCAAACTGAGAGTCAAATCAGAGATTCAATACCATTTACAATAGCTACAGAGAAAATAAAATACCTAGGAATAGGTATTTCACCTACCAAGCAGGTGAAAATCTCTGTAAGGAGAACTACAAAACACTGATGAATAAATCATAGATGACACAAACAAGTGTAAAAACATCCCATCATCCCATGCTCATGGATTGGAAGGATCAATATTGTTAAAATGTCCATACTGCCCAAAGTGATTTATAGATTCAATGCAATCCCCATCAAAATACCAATGTCGTATTTTACAGATCTAGAACAAAAAATTCTAAACTTTATTTGAAACCAAAAAATAGCCCAAACAGCCAAAGCAATCTTAAGCAAAACGAACAAATCTTGAGGCATTACATTACCTGAATTCAAATTATACTACAAGGCTATAGTAACCAAAAAAGCATGGCATTGGTATAAAAGTAGAGACATAGACCAATGGAACAGAATAGGAAACCCAGAAATAAAATGGGACAGCTGTGAACAAGTGATCTTTGACAAAGCAAATGATGACATACACGGGGGAAAGGAAACCCTATTCAGTAAATGGTGCTGGGAAAATTGAATAGTCACATACAGAAGAATGAAACAGGACTACTATCTCATGCCATCTATAAAAATCAATACAAGATAAATAAAAGACATAAATATAAGGCATGAAACCATAAAAATTCTTGAAGAAAATGTAAGAAAAACTCTCCTAGACATCAGCCTAGGCAAAGAATTTACGACTAAGACCCCAAAGACAAATACTGCAGCAACACAAATAAATAAATGGAACTTAATTAAATTTAAAATATTTCTGCACTGAAAAGGAAATAATCAGCAGAGTAAATACCTTACAGATTGGGGGACAATATTTGCAAACTGTACATCCAACAAATGGCTAATATCCAGAATCTACAAAGCGCTCAGACAAATCAGCAAGAAAAAAAACAACCACCCCCATTAAAATGTGGACAAAAGACATGAACAAAAGTTTTTTAAAAGAAGATAGACAAATGGCCAACAAACAAATGGAAAAATGCTCAACATCACTAATCATCAGGGAAATGCAAATTAATTTCACAATGAGATATCACTGTGGAGAAAAATCTAACCCGCCATTCTGCTTCTGTAAACTCCACTTGCTCAACCCTACTCCCTTCCCCCGCTGGCATCCCTCTGCTCGCTCAACCCTATTCCCTCCCCCGCTGGCGCCAGCGCCACTCTGTAACTCCCCAAAAACCGCTTGCCGTTAGTCCTTGGAGTTTATTGACCAAGATTAGAAGTTCCCGATATTAGCCCGTCTGGTACATGTTTGTGCAAGGTCAAAGCCCATGGAATTTCCCCCCACCCTGTGATCCCTAGCCACCTGCGTGTGGTTTCTGCCTATAAAAATCCTAAGGAAAAAAAGGCTGGTGCGGCAGCTTCCCTAGCTCACTTGCCCCTGCGCTGCGCTGGAAATAAAACCTCATGCTTTTGCATCAAGTCTCTGGACTCTGAGTCTTTTTTTAGGCGGTCGTCTCTCCCCCACACGGGCTGTACATTTCTGCGGCCTAACATCACCTTACCTCTGTCAGAATGGCCATTATTAAAAAGTCCAAAAAACAATAGAGGCTGATGTGGATGCAGAGAGAAAGCAACGCTGATATACTGTTGGTGGAACTGCAAATTAGTACAACCTCCATGGAAAACAGTATGGAGAGTTCTCAAGGAAATAAATGGAGACTTACCATTCAATCCAACAATTCCACTGCTGGGTATCTACCTAAAGGAAAAGAAGAAGATATTTTATCAAAAAGACACCTGGACTCGAATGTATATCACAGTGCAATTTACAATTGCAAAGATGTAGAATCAACTTAAGTGCCCATCAACTCATGAGTGGATAAAGAAAATGTGGTATATGTACCATGGAGTACTACTCAGCTATAAAAAGGAATAAAATAATGTGTTTTGTGCAACTTCAATGGAACTGGAGACTGTTATCCTAAGTGAAGTATCTCAGGAATGGAAAAACAAACACCACACGTTCTTACTAATAACTGGGAGCTAAATGATGGGCATATGTGGGCACAAAGAGATGTAAACAAAGATTGGAAACAAAGAAGAGGGGAGGACAGGAAGGGGATGAGGTATAAAACTTACCTAACCAGGTATAATGAACACTATTCGGGGGTGGGCACAATAAAAGCCCTGACTTAAGCATTACACAAGATATCCATGTAACAAAATCATTTATACCCCTTAATACATTGAAATTAATAAAACAAAAGGAAAATAGAAGACCTTCTCTTCACATGCTAACAACACGGCATATGACTGATGAAGTTAGCACTGATCGCTTGGTCCAGACAGCATTTGCCAGGTTTCTACATTTTAAAACTACTTATTTCTCCTTTTCCATACTCTGCTCTCTGGAAGGAAGTCGCCAAGTATAGCCTTCATTTCACAGGCTAAGAGTTAAAGTATCATCATTTTGAGTGGAAAGTATGTAGCTAAATTATTTGGAATTCTTTTTGTAGGAAAGGTCTCTTCTCTGGAATTTCCTGCAAACTCTCTGAGGCACAAAAGTGCACTTATCAATTATGATTTTTTAAGCTTGGGATCTCAGTCAAAAATCATCACAAAAGACAAATCTCACTCATTTAGTTACATACACACTTATTTTGACTCAATAATTACACAAAATAAAAACGCTAGTTTACAATGCCACATATGTAAGGATGTGGCAATAACAAAATAAACCCAAATTGAAAATTATCTGAATTTCCAAAATTGGAGAATTGACTAAATTGTGATTTGGCAGAATAAAATATTATACTGCTATTACTATAATGTAGTTCAGTAGCTAAAGAAAATTTTGTAACATATTTGAAATGATAAAAGCAAGATACACATATTTGGAGAGTGGCAGATTGCAATGGCTCTCATGCCTATAATCCTAGCACTCTGGGAGGCTGAGGCGGGAGGATTGTTTGAGGTCAGGAGAGACTAGTGTGAGTGAAAGCAGGACACTCTGTCTCTACTAAAAATAGAAAAAAATTAGCCAGGTATGGTGGCATGTTCCTGTAGTCCCAGCTACTTGGGAGGCTGAGGCAGGAGGATTGCTTGAGCCCAGGAGTGTGAGGTTGCTGTGAGCTAGGCTGATGCCATGGCACTCTAGCCCGGGCAACAGAGTAAGACTCTGTCTCAAAAAAAAAAAAAAAAAAGATATTTGGATATTTGGAGTGTGATCCTGCTGTTTAAAACAAATAGCAGGAAAAGAATCCCCTTTATATTTGTACACAATTGTATAAACATGCAGAATAGTGTGGAAAGATACGCATTGGGTTATGAACTTATTATGTTGTAGAGAAGGGTTAGAGTGTGGAGAGTAGTTTTTAAAAAAGAAGTAAGAAATAAAATATGCATGGTGTATATTAACAGAAAATAAACACAAGTTTCTATCTATGACAACAAATATGCAAACCCTTAATACAGACAAAGACTAGAAGGCAAAAAGAATAAATAAAAGGATTAATTTGATTTTTATTTGGGATTGTGACCAAGTTTAACTTGGGGTTTTGTTAATTTCAATACCGCTTCTTGAGTAAAGTAATTGGGTGAAAAATGCCTGGGGTTTGTTTTGTATAAATATCTATTTCTCAGGTTTTCTTTCAGTTGTAATTTCACAATGGAAATCTCCCGTTAGCACTTCAAATTGAAGCACTTTGTTCCTGCTTTAAACTATTATGGTAATTATGTCACACATAATTAATGGAACAATTAAAACAATGAATCATCTACTGCCTCGTGACATAACTTCTTTTTTCTTCTTGACCTATATACATTTTTAATTCTTATCAAAATCGAAGTATCGTCATATCACTCAGTTAGATTTTGAATTCTTTGTGGTGACAGAGGCTGTCTAATACATCTTGGGATTTCTCAGTCACCCACCACTTCGCTTTGCAAATGCAGAAGCCCTCGATAAAAGGGGCAAGATTAATTCAAGGGTAAGATTTTTTTTGACTTGAGGAGGGAATTGACTTAATTTGCCACCCTATTCCCTCGACCAACAAACATTTACTGAATGCCTACTTCTGTGAGCCTAGGGTTATTGGATAGAGAAATTATCACACACTACTGGCATTAAATAGAAACACAATGTAATAGCAAATAGTCCACATGCAGTGAAGAGCAAATAGGGCAGAGTAAGGGGGAGAGAAATGATTTCCAGTTTCTATTTTAGGAGAGGTAAGAAAAGATCGTTTTAAGGAGGTGCTGTTTGAGCAGAGACCTGAATGCCGTGAAGAAAGTCACCACACGGATAACGGAGAGAGAGTTTCAGACAGATTGAACAGAGCTGGGCGCGTTCTGGGAAAGCAAGGCAGCCCCTGTGGCTGGGAGGCAGAGGAGCAAGGAGAAGAGCCCGGGTCAGGCAGGTAGCCAAAGGCTGCAGCGTGCAGGTGCTTCTAGGATCTAGGATTTTGTTCTCAATGTGTTAGGAAGCCTTTGGAATGCTTGACTGAAGACGCGGCATGACCACATCTGTGTTTCGAAGTCATTCTTCTGGCTGCTGTTGATAACACAGAGGCACAGGAAGTGAAGCGGAAGGTCAGAGACAACCAGGCGAGAGGTGGCGGGAGAGGGCACTCAAGGTGCAAGTCCTGAGGAGTAATCAGAATTGAAACATTTCGGGAGAGGCTTTGTCCAGACTTCGCGTAACATGAATAATAGAAAAGAATACAAACTTATTTCAGATTTCAGGCTTGGAGAGCCGGATGATGGATGGCACCATTTAATAAGATGGGGACACTCGGAGAGGGTAAGTCTGGCAGACAGAAATGAATAATTCTGTTAGGACATGCTGTGTTTAGATGAATACTGAAGAGCAGAATTCACTAAGCCGACTACTCTAAAGCACAACTCTAAAAAAAACAGTGGCTTAACCCAGCTGGCATTTATCCCTTGTCAACCCATTCTGGTGACAGCGGAGGGCAGGCAGGGCACCCAGAAACCCGCACTCCCGCTCCTTTGCCTTCTCCTCCCAGAAAGTCAGTCGCCGAGACACTGGTTACCCTGACAACGCCCACCCAGCACAGGTGTCAGCATCAAGTGGAGTAAGGGGGTTGCTGGGAGGTGTGCGCACCCTGCAGGGCTGTGGGGATGAGCCCACGCAGGGTGACAAGGACGTCCACGCAGCAGAGTCCCGGCAGGGGTCAGAGCTCACTCAGGGTGACAAGGACGTCCACGCAGCAGAGTCCCGGCGGGCGTCAGGGCCCACGCAGGGTGACAGGGACGCCCACGCAGCAGAGTCCCAGCAGGGGTCAGAGCCCACTCAGGGTGACAAGGACGCCCACACAGCAGAGCAGAGTCCCAGCAGGGGTCAGAGCCCACTCAGGGTGACAAGGACGCCCACACAGCAGAGCAGAGTCCCGGCAGGGGTCAGGGCCCACGCGCAGGGTGACAAGGACGCCCACGCAGCAGAGTCCCGGCGGGCGTCAGGGCCCACGCAGGGTGACAGGGACGCCCACGCAGCAGAGTCCCGGCGGGCGTCAGGGCCCACGCAGGGTGACAAGGACGCCCACGCAGCAGAGTCCCGGCGGGCGTCAGGGCCCACGCGCAGGGTGACAGGGACACCCACGCAGCAGAGTCCCGGCGGGCGTCAGGGCCCACGCAGGGCGTGGGCGGCGGGAGGGCGACACCCGAGGGCGGGTTGCAGGTGCACGAGGAGGGTGAGGAAGGAGCCCCAGCAGACCGGGCGGGTGCCGCACCCCCGCTAGCACAGAAAGGACGTCGTGGCAGAGGAGTGAGGGCGGAGAGGACAGGCTGGCCACTGTGGCAGAGCGACTCCAGTGCGTCCCCCGCCCACGCCCGCGCTCTCCTGCCGTGCCCGCCTGAGCGCCGCGGGAGCCGGGCTTGTTTCCATCAGCATGACACAGCAGAGATGCCGGACTGTGACTGCGTGTGACCAGAAGACGGCGCCATCCCGGTGGGCTTCCTCTCCCTTGCTGCCTTCGCAGACTGCAAGCTGGATTAAGGGTACCTCCGCCAACAGTCAATACGAAAGTGAGTTTTTCAGTCTTACAAGAACATTAATTCCTCCAGAAACTTGAGTGAGCTTGAAAGTAGATACATCCTCAGTGAAGAATTCAGAAAATGTCTGGTTTCTTGATGCTTCCACGTGGTTCTATAGAAAAATGGCCTTTTTTTTTTTTTGTAGAAATTACATGGTGTTTGGGTTGGGTGATGGGACATCAAACAGGTAACTCAAATCCTTCAAATGAAAAATTATACTTGCAAAAATATCCATACTTGCCACTATTTAGTAATCTTAAGATTGCTTCAAATTTTTTAAAAAAGGTTTTAAGTAGTTAATATTTTTAATGCATATGCCTTTTAAATTTCCTCCTTTTTAAATATTTGTCTGATCTTTCAAAACGCTTCGTAACTAATTGGTTCAAATAATATAGAGTTTGCAGACAACGGTTTTACCAAATGTTTAAATCACATAGCACGACTCACCAACTATTCAATCCCCTATATTGCTTTTCCTTATCTGTATCTTCACTCTTCCATCTTCCAACTGCTGTTATTTTAATACTTACTTGTTTATTTTAATATGCAGCAAAGTTTGAATACCATTTGGTAGACCACCTCCCATTAGTTACTCTGAGTCATTGTTCATCCCAAAGCTATTACCAAGATAGGAGTCAGGTGATATCTCATTGTGATTTTGATTTGCATTTGCATTTCCCTGATGATTAGTGACATTGAGCATTT